TCAATCATCTGTCTCTCATGTTGAGCCATCTTGTAAAATATCTGATACATTGTCAGCAGTGGTTCTGTGAACAGAACCTATGATCTAGGAATTGAGTAGTTCTCATTCAATCCTCGAAGAAAATGTACAATTAAATTGGTCTCTTCATGACCCTTAGCAGTTTTAATGGCTTCACAATCAGCATGACTGGTAGTGGTACACAGACAAGGTGGAATAGACTGATAGTTCTTCAGCTCTTCCCACACAGTAATTAAATCTGTATCATATTCAGACAAGGATCTGCTACCTTGTTTCAGGGTGCATAGTTGCTCATTAAGTTCAACAATGCGAATTAAATCTCCCTGTGCATATCTCAACTTTAGGGTTTTCCATACCTCAGATGCAGACTGAATGTTTCTCACACTCTTACCAATCACTTCATCGACAGACTGGAGAATCCAGCTTTTGACCATCGTATTGCAACTCGTCCAGGGCCAGGCCATCGCATCTCCTGCTGCAGGCTTAGGGATGCTTCCATCGATGAAACCCAGTTTGTTCTTCGAAGCGAGTGCATCGATCATTGCTGCGCTCCAGCCGTTGTAATTGTGAGGAGTAAGCTTCTGTGACACCAAAATCTGACCAGGCTGCTCGGATCCATGAAGGCAGTATGGATCTGAAAATGGGTAGCCTGTAACAGACTTGGTTCCACTGTCGGAAGTTTCCTTTCCGGTGCTTGTCGCCATTGATGACAATCATTGCTAGAATTCACAAAACGAACTGAGTAAAAGAAGAACGAAGAACAGAGAAGAAGGATGGAGATGGGGTGAGCAAGGAAAGGGGCGAGCCCCCCTAACCAGGCTCTGATACCATAACAACGTTTTGGTTGTTCTAGGGTTTGAGGAATCAACGTGCCTCCACCCTTCTTCTCATTGATTCATATATAGTCCGAGCGATTACAAATCCAGCTGTGTTGGGTGAAAACAGAACGGTGAAAAAGGAACAAGAAAAAACAGTGAAACTCGTCGTTGTTGACCGTTAGAAGGCGAGCTGTCCTATTGGTCCATTCGTCACCAATGGCAGCGAGACACATGTCCTGGGCGTACTTAAGTGCTGAGACGAAACGGTGGCGTTTGCTGAGTTGCTTGCTTCTGAACCACGCTGATAGCTTGGAGATGAAGATAAAACTCCTGTTTCTTCTGTTATAGTCTGGATTCGTATCAATACCCGATGTTTTAACTTTTAACCACACATGGTATGTGTTTGTGCTTGCAAAGGACGAACCCTTTACTATTGATGCTTGTTGAACTTGAACCCTCTGTGACATTATTCCAACTATTGGAAAATTAGATGTGGCACTATAAATTGGGCAAGACTACTAGGAGCTAGGATACTGGAATCGGGAGAGACGTGAAGGAGAGGTCGACTCTTGGAACCCGATTCATGGATTGAGCGAGTCGACGACTGGGACATGGGGAGAAGCTCCGATGGTTGGGTCGACGAGGTCGGAACCCTAGACAAGAAGGGACGAAGTTAATGGAAAGGAAGAGAATACAATGGAGGGCAGTATGATATCTATATATAAGAGGATAAATTTTTTTGTTTTAATTTAAAATATAGTGTGGATTCAAATGACGTGACGAGTCTAATTGAACATGACGTGTCGTATAGGTAGCATCCACATCCCCTCAACTGTAAGTACCATTAAGGCATTGACGATGTTAATACATTTTATGAAAAGTGTTAAATTTGTCAACAACCTTAAAAAGTGTGGCTACTTGGTGCATTTTTTAAAAATTGACTATTGCTGCCAAATAGTGGATAATTATAACTAGGGTTAATTGCATGGTTGGTCACTGAAATTATAAAAAACGTTTAAGTTTGGTCACTCGAAATATTTAAATCCGTTGGTGGTACTTCAGTTTACTGAAACCGTTCACGTTTGGTCACTCTCCGTCCAACTCCGTTAACTTTTGCTGATGTGGCAGTCAACTCTCAAAGTTGACCGTTAACTTAGTGACGTGGCAACTAAAAAATTATTAAAAAAATAAACTTTTATATTTTCTACCTCATTATTACATTCATTAAAAAATAAAAATAAAAAATTTAGCTTGTTTACTGCAGCCGCCGCCGGTAACTCTGCGCACTGCAGCACTCCTTACGACCTACTTCCCCAAAGAAAAACCATCGCCTCCATCATTTCGCACTGCCAAGCGGTATCATCTTTTACCTTTTGTTTTGAGTTTGCGTTTTGTTCTCTGGGTATTCTTTTTATGATTAATTTTGAGTTTCCTTCAGGAGTCAAATTGCTCCCTTCAAGTTCCTTCATCTTCTCTGCAATCGAAGTCCTTTGCGCTGAAAGCCATGAGCGAGTCTCAAACTGTTGCGGTGCCGAATAGGGAGGCCCAGTCTTCATACCCTTCTGGTACAACTCTCAACTCTTTTCCTTTGGTTTGCTTACTTATCAGAATGGGTCAATAGCATAAATGGTCACTTACGTTTGACACTACTAACAAAATGGTCACTAACGTTTCATTTTTAACGAAAAAATAACTTATATTTGTACTAACTAACAAACTGGTCATTCCATTACTTTCCATCCATTTCTCCATCCAACGTTCACACATCACCAGCCACATCATCCTAATTAATATATAAATAATCGCTTACTAGGCTGATATGGACAAACCAATTGAACCCACCCTAAATCCAAATACAACCAAGCAACTAACCCACCGAAATTACAGAAGGCCCAATTTATTTGAATTTCTAGCCAAAGAGTCTCATCTCTGATCTCTCGCCCTCTGTCCAGAACAATCCCCAATTTTTTTTCATAATGGAAAAATTAGGGATTCTGTGCCAAAAAGATCGCCGGAGGATTACAAAGGTTCACCAAATCTTCTTGTATTGAATGTATAATCACCCTCGGCGGATTTTCATCTCCATCTAGTACCGTCGACCATAAAGCGGCGTTCGCAAGATGTGTACAAGAGTGGGGATTTCATATTCTAGACTGGGATATAGATTGGGGATGAATCGGCGTTTGCGGGTTGCCACCTACCACTGGGTCACCACCGAACGCCGATTGAGTCAACGAGCGATTGGGGCTTCCTCGCTCTTTGACCGTTATACGGGGCTCGCCGCCGGCCTGGATCTCCCTCCGTTTTCCTAGATTGCGGAGATCAATCCCCCCAGTTCGTGATAGAATGAGGCAGCGTCGGGAAAGAACTCTTCCCCAGCTTCCAACGCCGGCTTCCTTCCTTTTACCCGGCGATTCTCCTCCCTGCTGTTGTCCCATCTAGAAAGAGGGCGACAAAGCTCCTCCTTGGTGTCCTTTCCGTCGACGAAGATAGAGGACGGGTCTTCTTCTTTGGCATCGGATTCGGACGGCGACACTGTTTAGGGGAGTTCTCCGCACCATGCCACCTTCTCAGCTCCCGTCCCTGGAAGGTGTATCGCAAAGAGAAGGAGAAGGGGAAATTGGGTGGGATGGATGGTTAGTGCCTTGGATCTGGTTGGAGGTTCGGTTAGATTGGCTGATATGATACAAGATTTTACGTGGCAACTTCTTCATTGAAAAATGGGTGATGTGGCGGGTGATGTGTGAATGATGGATGGAAAAATGGATGGAAACTAACAGAATGACCATTTCGTTAGTTAGTGCAAACGTAAATTATTGTTTCGTTAAAAATCAAACGTTAGTGACCATTTTGTTAGTAGCACTAAACGTAAGTGACCATTTATGCTATTTATGGTGTTCCTTACTTCCTTTTCCAAATCCCCTCATTTTGTGTCCTTGACTCCTTGTTTAAGGCCAAAAGCAGGTTTTTTATTTTTTTTATTTTTTAATGAATGTAATAATGAGATGGAAAATGTAAAAGTTTATTTTTTTATTTTAAATAATTTTTTAATTGCCACGTCACTAAGTTAACGGTCAACTTTGAGAGTTGACTGCCACATCCGCAAAAGTTAACGGAGTTGGACGGAGAGTGACCAAACGTGAACGGTTTCAGTAAACTGAAGTACCACCAACGAATTTAAATTTTTCGAGTAACCAAATTTAAACGTTATTTTTGTAATTTCAGTGACCACCATGCAATTAACCCATTATAACTATCTAGGTATATTTTGGCTCTGAGAAGCGTTGGGAGTAGGGGTGTTCAAACGGTGTGGTTATCATGGTAACCGTTTTAACCAGTATTATTTGGATAATTTGGTTTGGTTAATTTGGATAATTGGTTTGGTTTGGTTGAAGTCCTTAGCTTGTTTGGTTTAGGTGGTTTGGTTTGGTTTCAGACACTCCTAACCAGCCAAACCAAATTAACCAGATAAATAATTAGCCATATATCTAATATATACACATACTTAATACTTTGAATAACCACTCAAGAGTTAAACGTTCATCCCTTTTAGACTCATAAAATATAAAGCTTGATATTGTTCCTATAATGTATATTTGTATATGTAGAGTGTAGACCACAACATATGAACGCCTAATTTAGATAAATCTCATACATTATGTTGGATGAAAACTTGAAAGCAAGGTCCTTTTCAGCCTATGAAAATTGCTAAAAGTCTAAGTCAATTCAAACAAACACAACAATTCATTAACTCATACCATTGTGATAAATTTTTGTTAGATGAATACTTCTATACTAACCGTAACATAATTGTCTTAGTTGCATGTATTTATGTTAAGGGTCAACTATAACTATGTGTTGATTATTATGTTTTATTCATTATATAAATTGTGAATTGATAAATTAACCAAAAAATTTCTCACTTAATGATAATGTGATTTTATATTGGTTAATCTGGTTAACCAATTAACCAAACCGATTAAACTTTAGTTTGGTTAATTTGGTTGTTGTATTAGTTTGGACGGTTTGGTTATGATATTGTATTCCATGGTTAATAAAATTTAGCCTTATTTGGTTTGGTAATAACCATGGTAACCATTTGAACACCCTTAGTTGGAGTGTTGACGAGTTCAAGCTTCAAGGCACTGGTCCAAACTCTGGCTACCGCCAAAAAACCAAGCTCAAAGCCTCAAACTAACCGACAGATGATGAGGATTGGGAATTTGATTTCCCCAGTTCTTGGGCTGATTCTATTAATTTCCCTTTTCCCCCTGGATCAGAAATTCAAGTGCTTCTGCGTATTTTATACGAAAAAGATTAATACATTTGGCCATTTGGGTTCAGTGGTCTGAAATTCGCGGGAACGATGGCGGAGGGTTGGTTGGGACCCTCTGTAGCCAAGGGCGCTTCTTCCCTTCTCTTCCACACTCCCAACGTTCCTGCTCCCTTCTCTTCTTCCTCCGCGAGCAGTTCTAGATCAGCTCTCAGACAGCCGAGATCCGTCTCCATGGCGGCTTCAGCGTCTCAAACCCAATCATCCCCCAACTCCTCCTCAGAAATCTCCAGCCCTAGGCCTACTCAGCCATCTCTTCTCGTCTTCTCCGGTGCGCCTCTTTCGAATTCGAGTTCTTAATTAGACACCCTTTCCATTTCGTTTCATTCTAAGGCATTTCTAGCGATGTGAAATTTTCAAGCTTTCCCTACTGCTGGCAGGTGGTACAGCGTTTAATGGCGTTGTGGAGGAGCTCAAGAAGTTGACAACTCGAGTGACTCATGTTCTTCCCGTCTCCGACGATGGAGGCAGTACAGCCGAGATTGTTCGTGTTCTTGGTAATCCCCTCGCTCTAGCCTTATTGCTTTCTCTATATCCCTACAATTTTGAGTCTTGAATTGATAAATTTGGTAGATGAGTTTGGTGGTATTATTTTCTTTGTTAAGGCGAGTAGAGGAGATGATGGGCTGCTGATTATGTGTTAGGTGGTCCTGCTGTTGGAGACATTAGGTCGAGATGTTTGAGGCTGTCTGATCAAAGCACGGTCGAGGCTCTGTCTGTTCGTAGTCTGCTTGGTCATAGACTACCTCTTGATGCACACGAAGCCAAGTCAGAATGGTAAGAGATTCATATCCAGCTGATGTGTCTTCATTTATCAGCTTTGTTGATTCTTCTATGGTGGGGGAAGGGCTAGAGAATTGCGACCCTGGATTTAGGCCAAGAATGAGAAACTAGAGAACAGCCGTTGTAACCATTTTTTCCTTTCATGCTAATTAGAAAACTAAGGTTTTGTCAGCATTCTTCTGCTTTACCTTCTGATTGAAGTACATGATTTCACTTGCAGTTTCATTATGTTTTGCGGTCAAAAGTTAAGGCAGATTATGATTTCATTCGGTATTGTGTCTTAAGCTAATAATAAGTTGATATGGTAACTTTATGGCTTTACTCAGTTTCTTTGTTCACGAGATGGGCTTGATCAGAGGGCTGAATTCTGGGAATTTCAGGTATAGCATTGTGGAAGGAAAACATGATCTATGGAATGGGTTATCTAGACCATACAGTGAAACTATCCTAGCCTTTCTAGTGTATTTCCAAAATGAGGTATGCAGAATTTCTAACTGTGTGCCTTGTGTTCCTGGCCTTTGATTTGTCAAGAACTTAGTCATTGAATGCCTGGAAAATTCTTTTTTTTTTTCTCAAGTAAATGAAACTTCCACCGTAATGTAAGGAAACAATCGATTCTGTTCAATAACTTCTTGATAAATCCGTGACAAAAAAACATGGGAGAACCAAAATCGTGAAGTCTCTAAAAGGTGGTTGTTAACTGTTAACTTCCCTGTATTTCTTTTCTACTCAGATTATGCGAAGGCCCAATGAAGCATTTTGCTTCAGTAATGGCAGGTACTCAACCAATTTGCATGCACTTAAGTACTTGGAATCTTTATGCCCTAAGTATTGTGAAAAACTACATGATCAAACCTTGTAGCCAATTATTTGGAAACTGGAATACATGATTGAACAGGCCTGTGCAAGTACTCTGTTGTTTTCATTGCAGTATTTCCAATTCATAGGGTGACTACAAATCTGATTAGTGTGTCTTTTATCTTGCTACCTAATACAAACTGACTGCCACCTTTTTGCAGCATTGGGAATTTCTTCTTTGCAGGAGCACGCATATTTTTTCAGTCTCTAGATGCTGCTATATTTTTGTTTTCACGTGTTTCAGATATTCCATCAGAAAGTTTGGTCCTTCCTGTGATCTCCACAAATGACAGGCTTACGTTAGGATGTGAATTATGGGTATTCCAATGCGCATTGTTATTGAAATATGGCAGATATTATGCAACTGATTTTCAGTTGCTATGATCTCACTTGGCCTGTGGCTCTGCTTTGGTTTATTCTCCATTTCAACCTACTCTTTCTATGTCCATCAGAATGGAACTATTATACGAGGGCAAAATGAAATTTCTCATCCAACCAATGGCTCTATGCAACCCATTGACAAGGTATCACTGTGTAGCTTAAAGCTATAAGCCCTATTGTTCTCTTTAGAGGTGATGATGGTTTGACTGGTAGTTGAAGGATAACTATATGGAGAAACCTTCTGATGTAGGACTTGTTTTCTCGTGTAGGGATGTTGTTCAGCACTTCCGTCAAGGATAAAGCGTGTATTCTATATGTCAAGTGAAGGTGGGAATTCACTTCATGAGGTAAGCAAATTCATCTGTGCTTTATATTTTTATAAATGGGCTAAGGTTGCGCTTGCTTTAAGCATTACAGTGAGATTATCCTCTTCAGATGCTGAATTGCTCTCTAACTATATTGTTTCTGGTTGCCCAGGTCTTCCCCACGGTAAATGCTACTGTACTGGACCAACTGAGCACAGTGGATTGCATTGTTTATGCAATGGGATCCCTCTTTACTTCAGTTTGCCCATCACTGGTAAAATTTTGAAATGTCCATTTGTCTCTTTGACATAGTGATTCACCTCTATTGTTTCTGTTGGAGATGTTAAGAACCATGTTATTTTTCTACGTTTTCGTTGGTTGATATATATTCCTCGACTCAAGGAAAATTGGTAAATCTTTGTAGCTCTTGCCTAATGTTCAGGTGTTACGCGGCGTTGGAGAGAATATTGCTTCAAGGACCTGCCCCAAGGTAATGATTTTCAGACAGCTAGTTAAGTCGTCCCACTTAAGTTGATACAATGGTATATTAAACCCTACAGCCATTGCACTTTGGTGACCCCATCATTGCCATGATACCGAACTGAATAACTGATGGAGGTCTCTTCTAAATGTTTTAGGTTCTTATGTTGAATGGTACACATGATCGCGAGACAATTGGGTTTTCTGCTTCCAGCTTTGTGACTGCAATGGCTGATGCCTTAAATCGCAGATATGGAGATCCTCACAATTGTCTAGGGTACTCTGTAAGCGGCATATTAAGACAGATCCCTCTTTTGGATTCTCATTTTGGTTTGCTGAGATTTGGGAACGTGCTGCTGTTTTATTGAGAGGCCTTGTCTTTCTTGTGAGCAGGAAAGCCAATATGTGAACACCCTTCTAGTGCCCAAAGGTGGTGCCATTCCCATAGACCTTCATTCCTTGAATGCTCAAGGGATCTTTGACGTGGTACGTGTATTTTCCGGATGCAGAATATGACTTTCCTTGTCTCTCAGTAATCATTTTGCTCATAATGAAATGCATTACGTTCCTTTTCCCCTGTTTTGGGTGGGCAGATTGTTGTTGATTCAGTCGAGGATCCGAAAGTGGGCATAATATTTGATCCGGCATCGTTGATCAATGCGCTAGCTGATTTGATAGGAAGGCATATGAGCTCAATCGTGAAGGTTTAAATAAACCGGTTGTAGCTAGGAAGCCAGAGTAAGCATCCTCTGCTCCGTTCTGGGACGTTTGGGTGGTACAAATTCCATTATGATGCAACTCTGCCATTTTCCCATTGAGTTGGCCGATTTGAAGATGCGAATAGCGAACTGTGGCCTGGATAGACGAAAAGAAGGATTCCCAGGCAGGCGAAGTTCAGAACTGGGTCATCCTGGGAAGATCAAATAGCATGGAGGCCATTGATGCTGCTACCCAGGATAACAGGCTGTTGTCAAGTCAAGACCGTAGATAATATATTCTTGTTGTAGAATTACCGACTTTGGATAGCTGCATTTCATTACATGAACTGTTGATTGAAATGGAATGTACCGTCATGTTTATACACATTAGCCAGTGGTTTTGACCCATTACGGCAAGAGGATATGAAGCTACCATGGTGAAGAGGATATGAACCTACTCGTTATCTCATTGGACTTCAACATATGTGTCATTCAATAAGCAAATAATACAGTAGCATCCAATGCCTCTGAGAAATTTGATCTTGGAGCAAAAAACAGCAATGGGAGGATTCATAAAAGGAACCATGAACAATGAGTTGTGGAGTCGAAATACAAGTACAGGGAAATCTCAATCACCTCTGTTCCGCCCAGCCGAGCGAACAACAGCAGAATTCAGGGTTTAGGAAGCTTTGCCGCTGTTAGGATTCGACTTGGTGCAGAGGACCCATCGTCCCTTCGCCCGTCGCCGCTTCAGAATCGCCCTCCCGCTAGTCGTTCTCATTCTTCGCCGGAACCCATGAGTCCTCGCCAGAGACTTCCTTGACCTGTTCCTCTTGGTCAGGCAAAGTGCAGCCTTCCCTGCTCTCACCACCAGTCCGCCGCCCCGCTTTCTTGATTCCCCGCCGGAGCTCAAACCCACAGTTCCCAGAGACAGACCTAAAATGGACATTTTCCACCATTCGACACAATTAGCCGACGGAGAAATTCAGAGAGGAGAGACTCAGTTGACGACGCACGCACCTGAGAAGGAAGAAGAGAAGGAGGAAGTAGGAGAGGAGAGGAAAGAGCAGTGCAGCAGGCCGGAGCGAGACGTGGAGCTGGCATTCATGGAGAAATTCCTCCTGGATGTGGTGCCGGTGGAGAGGGAGAGAGAAGCGGAGACGCCTCCACGAGGAGAGGATTGAGCGGTTCTGCACGGCGGCATCCATGCCGGCGACGACATTATGGTGACGGCAGCTGCCATGGCTTTTTTCTCTTGTCTTGGTTCTTTAGCTTTCTCCTTTTCGTTATCCTGATAAGGCTGAGGAAGTGAAGTCGCGAAGGGGACGATGAGTAAGAAAGAAGAGCAGAGGTGAGGTGGAGGTGGAGCCCGTGGGATTTTGTGGATCGGTTAATCCGTACTAGGAGTTGGATCGGATCCGCTTTTAAGACAAAGCCTGCATGGTAGCCCACAGGCTCAACCCACGAAGAGCGGAGGTGAGGTGAATTGAATCGGATCTGCTTTGAAATGGGCCAAGCCTGCTTGGAAACCCACTCGAAATGATTTGGGCAATGTCTATTTTTTATCCAAACCTTTTTCAGATTCTTTTATTTTAACCAAACCTATTGAATTCCTAAAAATTATCCAAACGTTAACTCTCCGTCAACTTTTTTGTTAGTAATGCTGACTAAGTATGATCATAATGAGTTGACTTCCTACGTGGCGGTCAGAATACCATCATTTACTATTTTTAATAAAAAGATTATCAAAAAACAAAACAAAATCTCACCTCTCACGTGGACGAAATAAGTAACGGTAACAGAATGAATGCCCAGACTTTGATAAATTATAATACGTTTGGATAATAAATAGAATTTCTATAGGTTTGGTTAATATAAAAGAATCTGAAAAAGGTTTGGATAAAAAATAGACATTGCCCAAATGATTTTGCAAAACTTTTAGGTTATCTTGTCCAATAGGGTTCACCATCAGAGGTATTACGGTGCTTGATGATAGGTTGAATTAATTGATTTTTGGAGTACGAAACTATACCATATCTGTTGATGTTACTTGAATCGGATTATTTGTCCAGGTTTGACATGTCTTCAATAAAGCCTTTTATTACTCTTAGTGTTTCAAATATTAATCTATCTTCAGTTTATGCACCGCAGTCAGAGACTGAGAGAAATACATGTTGAGAGTCTCATATGCTAGTGCAGTTGGTAGTTTGTTATGGTATGCACTAGACCTGATCTTTCACGTGCTGTTAGTATTGTCAGCAGGTTCATGATACAACCTGTGAAGAGGATCTTCCGGTACCTTAAGGGTAAGTCGGATGTGGGGATTAGTTTTGAAAGTGATACGAAGTGCTTAGTGGGTGGTTGTTTAGATTCTGACTATGATGGAGATGTTGACACGAGAAGATCGATGACCGATTATGTATTCACTCTTGGGAGTTCTGTAGTGAGCTGGAAGACAACTCTGCAGTCGACAGTGACATTATCTACTACTGAAACAGAGTACATGGCATTGATAGAAGCTGCTACGGAGGGAATATGGTTGAAGGGGTTGGTTGGTGATATGGGTCTACAACGTGATCAGGCAGTGATGTATTGTGACAGTTTGGTTGCAATATGTTTGGCCAAGGATCAAGTCCACCATGAGAGGACTAAGCACATCGATGTGAGGTATCATTTCTTGAGAAACAGAGAAGAGGATTAAGGTGAACAAGGTCGACACCGCCAATAATCTTGCTGACATGTTCACGAAGCCAGTTCCACATGGCAAGTTCCAACACTACTTGGACTTGCTGAATGTCTTGAGTGGGTGGACATTGATGGAAGGAGGGAGAGAATGATAAGAGTACATAAGAGATTTCAGAGGAAGAAGATTCAAGTCAAGGTGGAGATTTGTTGATGTGACTTGAACATGACTATCTGGCACTACGACTGGATGTCAGGGGGGTCCAAAGGGAACGCCCCCGGTCCACGGTTATTGTGCACAATGTTGTTTGGGTTCGTGTTGTGGGTCTGGTCTGTAACCGTTTTTCCTTTACCCTATTGGATTAGGGTTAGACTTTGGAGAAGTACTATAAATACTTCTCATACTCCTCTGTAATCTGTATCTCCTCGAAGTATAGTGAAACTAGCCCTCTTGCCCGTGGACTAGCTAACACACATTGTATTAGTGAAACCACGTAAATCGTGTGTGGTGTGTGTGCTACTAGCCCTCTCTTGCCCGTGGACTAGCTAACACACATTGTATTAGTGAAACTAGCCCTCTCTTGCCCGTGGACTAACACACATTGTATTAGTGTAACCCAATAAGTAAACTATAACCCTAATTATCTAAAAGTCTAAACCATAAACCCTTAGATGCCGCGTCTAATATGTTGGATATATTTTGATAAATAAGAATAAATGATTATTATATATAATAAAATTGATTTTAGGGTATATAATTTAGAGAATTAGAATCTAATTTCTACTAATTAAGACTAGATTTGAGCCCGCCCGTTGATCGGATGAATTTCGTTAATAGTATAAATAACCATAGAAATTATCCGACGTAAGAAATGTTTTATTTTATACCATAAAAAATTTGAATCATTTAGTAACTGGAGACAATATCATACTCGTATAATATTTGAACATGTTAAACCAATTTATTGCTAAAGTCCTTATTGAAAGTAAAAAAACAAAATCATGCAAGAAAATCTACTCCTAAAAATGTAATCAAACCACACTATTTGCTCATCGAATTAACAAATTATTGCAAATGTCATTTTAGATTTCGTGTGATCGCTACGTCCTCTAAAGCACCATTATATCAACAAATTCCAATGCATTTTTCTTTCCTTATGAAACCTTTATCTTCACACTAAAAATTACACACGATAGAATTTACGTCGCATGAACATTTTATGATATTTATTCTTTCTCATGCTGATAAACAACCCAGCAACCAACACAAATATTGATACTCTTTAGATTGAAAAATTAATAAATAAACTTAGGGATTGAGTACTCTCCAATAGATATGTTGCTTTTTTTTCTTATAAATATGCATATTTTATTGCTCAATTTGTATATAATAAATTAAGTGGGGAGTATCATGATCATTCTAAGTTAACTTTATGAAGATTGGGAGCTTGGTCAAAGTCTAGTCAGCAAGGCGAGAACCAAAAATTGATGGTGGGGATGTAATTAGGAATTGTCATATAGATAGGGTACCATTTTAGAAAAATGACACCCCTATTAATTATAGTTATTTTCTGTATTAAATTCGTGTTGTATTTAATAATCTTTGGAAATTAAAAATGCATATTAATTACATTTCTTTTTTTAAACTATCATTGCACTGATACGGGATGAGTTAGCATGCTAACCCCCCTAAGGGGTTGGAAAAATGACACCCCCTAGTGTATTAAATACAACTATAAAATTTAATACACACATTAAATACATATTAGGAAATTAAATGCACCATATTAATTATTATCTTTTTTTTCAAATTAAAACCTACACTAAATATATTCTCTCTCCCTATATCTAATTTTTCCTTTTTCAGCAGTCTCTGACCACCAGACTTCCTCCGACCGCCACACTTCTCCGGTGAAAATCTCATCAGCAGACTCCCTCCGACCACCTGCAAAAAATATACCATTGCACTGATACGTTGTACCACTACATTGGTAGCTATATCACTGCACTGGTAGTGATATCAGTGCACTGGTACCAATGTCATATATGAGTATCAATGCAGTGGTACAAATACCAGTACAGTGGTACAACGTATCAGTGCAATGGTATATTTTTTGCAGGTGGTCGGAGGGAGTCTGCTGATGAGATTTTCACCGGAGAAGTGTGGCGGTCGGAGGAAACTTGGTGGTCGGAGGCTGCTCGGAAAGGAAGAATAGAGATAGGAGAGAGAAAGATCAAAGATGAGAGAGAGAATTGTATTTTTGTATATGTTTAGATTTTATTTAAAAAAACGAGTAATTAATGTGGTGTATTTAATGCTTACTTTGTATTTAATAATAGAACATTTATTATGGTTACTTTCATTAATACTAGTCAATAATTAATGAAAAATTGATCAATTAACAAGGGGATGTCATTTTTCCAACCCCTTAAGGGGTTAGCATGCTAACGCATCCCGCACTGATACAACTACCATTGCACCTGTATACTAAACTCATATTAATTACGTTCCTTTTTTGAAACTATCATTGCACTGATACATCTACCATTGCACATGTACACTAATATCAGTGCACTGATACAACTACCAGTGCACTGAAAAAGGAAAGTAATTAATATGTGTTTTTAATTCATACAAAATATTAAATGCAACACAAATTAATTACCTTAAAAACCTATAATTAATAGGGTATCATTTTCCAACCTTTTAGGGGTATGCATGCTATCTCATTCCATCTTTAACATTATAATATGGTTGGCAGTTATGATATAAATTAAATGTATCTACAAACACTAATTCTTTGAAGTACAGTAATTTAACTTATAAATAACAGAACACATTAATTAAATAGGGAGTTTTAATTCTTTCCGTGGGAGTCCCGGTCCTAATTTTTTTAATTAATAGGTTGAGGGTTTTAACTTATGAGCCCAAATGACAAAAGAATCCTTCCTTCCTATACGGAGAAGCTAGAAAAAAATTAATTGGATGGGTTCTCAACAGGAACCTCTATATATGATTTGGAGGATTTAAAGTACAATACCGTGTCCCATATTCAGATTAAATCCACATCTATAGATTCGCATGATTGTTGTTCCAAATTTAGAAACTTGATTTTATTAGGTATATATGATGCTCTCAAATTTACCTAAAAATACTATAGACTCGCATGATTGTCGTTCCAACAAAACACCAATGTATGCTTCTGATTTCTGTAAAGGAGAAAACAACCTCAATCGTTGGAACTAAATGCTTTTGGTAATCTATTATGCTAGGGTAATATATATATGTAAACGCACTGTGAGTCGTGACAAGTGACGGAGGTTCGAAATAAACCAGAACCATATTTAGAAGAAGAGCCAGCCATACAAGTACCTAATAGAATTATACTTTAATTTATGTAATTCCATGGAGCCTCATCTTACTAGATTATTAAAGGTTGATAGAATTATCTGAATTTCAGCCGGACGATACTTCTTGGAGCACGATCCGGGAGGTTTTGTGATCTTCCTCAACCAAGCCTCCTTAGACCACTAACGGGAATCCTCTGATCTTCCTGATGGGGAGAAAAAGAGAGTGTTTGGTCTTGGTTTATTGGGGACCACAATCTCAAGCTCCTTTATATACTTGTCATCATGGGCTCCCATAAGACCCAAGGTGAACAAGTATTGGGTTTCCACCCATTTAGGCCCATATGAATACAAGACATATTTGGGCTCCTGATTTGGATCACTTACAATTAGTCCACTAAAACAAATAGCTTTATAATTGTCAAATATGTGGCC